GTCCGGTCCGGCCCGGTCCGGTGCCTCCCGGCTCGATACGGCACCGCGGAGGGCTGCGGGGACTCGCCCCCCACGCCGGCCTCGCTGTCCTCCCTGCTTCGCAGGCGAGGGGAGAAGCGGTTGCGCACAAGAAAAAAAAAAAGTCTTCGTTTAAAATTCATTGTAATCTATAAAAAGCAGCACATGGAGGAGTGCCCATTTGCATCTGAATCCTTGCGTTGCGGCTCTCAGGGTGTGGGTTTCTTAGTTTTTTTTATTACTATTTTCCCCCAGTGTGAAGGGGGTGGAATCGTGTCGGGTGGAATCGTGTCATTTTGAATGGGTAAAATGATGAGAGTCTTGGTAAGTGAGCACCAGAAATGGGACTTTGAGGAAGAACTAGAATAATTCAGGAGGTCATCTGGTCCTAATGCGCTGCTAGCTGCGCACATCACGCTAGATAGGATACCAAGACTACAGTTTGCTGCAGTTTGGGGGAAAGGTGTTCATTTTCTGTGACCTTGCAGCTGCTTTCTCTGTCTTCTCATTTCTCTATTTCTTTGTCATAAAACCAATCCTAAATATAGCATGATAGATAAGGGAATGCATAAATTGAGTACTACATGAAGTGCATGTACCCACTTAAAATCAGATGTTGTTAAATGTTTCATATGATTTAATTTTGTATAATACATTGTTCTTTTAAGTGCTTGCTTACTAGCAAAAAAAGTTAAGATTTCACATGATATTTATAGGCGATGATATGGCTTTGGAGGAAGCCTTTTGTAGAGAACAGTTGGGTTTTAACTAGTTGTAGAAACAAGTTTTACGGATGTGGATTAATGCTTATTTTACTCCGAGCTACAGAATAAACAAGCAATCAGTTTGTTCTTTTCCAGAGTTATTCTCCCATGGTTCATGGTGGATAGCTACAGGACATGTGGACACATGAGGGAAGGCACTGGACTGACTGTCTACTTTTAAAGCTTTTTTACTCCCATTCCTGCATTAGAAATGTCACAGGCATTTACAGCCTATAAGACTATGATGCAGGCTTGAAATAATTCACAATATGTAGTAAGCATAAACTCAGGTTAGGTCATGGTTAGGTCAGCAGTGAATGACATTTTACTCATATTTGGTCTGCTTGCATTATGGGTGCATTTAAATTAATGATAAAACACCACCAGTTTCAGTGGAGTCAGGAGTTCCCCCTCCACCCCCAGTCATTTTTCAAAATTAGTTTTGATTCTTTCCTACTAATAATCTGTTTTTTAGCACTCAGGTAGCATGCGTTTGCACTCTAATCATTCTAAAATTCATTTATGAGCAATGTGTCATGTCTTGTATAAAGTTAAATTTCTACTTTCACCAAGTATATATAGTGTATATTTTGATCTTAAAAGGTCAAACTATTAAATAAAGATTACTGATAATGTGTTTACAGTTCCTATCAGCTCTACATATTTTCCATCTGACTGGTTGAAACAGGTCCTGTGAGGTGATTCTAGTGCTCAGTCCGAGCCAGCATATCCTTAAATAATATAGTCTTTTCCTCTCTTACTAATATTCAGGTTACATTTGATTTCTCATTACTGTTATATAAACACTTCTAAAGAATTTGAAATACATTCTTACATAGTATAGAAATATAATAGAATAGAAATATAATAGAAATATATTCTTACATAGTAGTCTATAGTAAACATAGACTTGCCAGACAGTGCCTGATTCTGCAGGCATTCTGCTCTTAGGAAATATATTACTTCTTAATAAATACAAAAGCCTATAATATTGCATGGGCAGTAATTTCCTATACGAATTTATTAATAAGGGTTCCACTCTAGGAGGACAGATAAAGACAATTACAGTATAAGTAAGTCATATGTTTTCTGTCTAAATACACTAGTCACAAAAAGAATACGCACTGTTGCATGCTTTACATTCTGCTTGGTGTGCCTACACACTGCCCTACTGCAAGATATGACCTTATATCACAGAGGGATCATCTCTTCTCAGTGTTACACAGGAATACCTAAGTATTCATCTGCAATATTTTGTTTAAATTGGTTTTTTTTTGTGTGTGTGAACTATGGAGTTTGCACAGTGCTTTACTTTTTTAAAAAACGATGTGCTATTATGAAGTGCCATAGTACTTCTGTAAGCCCTGTGTGTTGTGACTTCTTTATCATGGCCGATGCAGTTTTTAATATAGATAACGAAATCTATTGAAATATGGGTAGATTTACTAAAATTTCCATGATTCCTTTCCCATTTATAGATTATGTCTTTCACACATCACTATCACTGCCATTGCTGCGTTGAAGAAGCGTTGCTAGTGACTGGTTTTATCACTAATATAAATTGGGACCGTAATTTAAAAAAAAGCAGTGAAATGGAAGATCAGAGAATTATAGTTTCAAGAGGATAAAAAGAGGGTGAAATCATGCAACAACTTCAGCAAAACATTTTGCTGGACCAACTTCATTGAGTGGAGTGTCACTTTTGGCCAGAGGCAAGTAACACCGAAAAACAGAAGAGGATGCTTTAGTCTCTGTACAATACAGAAAATAAGGATTTTCACAGATGTTGCATGGCCGTATTTTGAAAATAGCATTTAAAGAAGAAAATTCCATTGTAACCAATGGAATTAAATAAATAAATAATGGAGCAACAGAGATGTAGCCTAAGAGCATGCACAGTATTGTACAGCTATGTGATCAAGGATTGAGCAAGACAATTTGCAGCTTTTTTTTCTTGCCTGAGGAAATTAGATGGCCCAAATGACATGGATTATCCCTAGCATAGTCCAGACATAGACCAGAACCCTTTCCATTTGTTATGCTCAGTGGATCAGTGTTACGCACTGTGGGGTTTTGTTGTTGTTTTGGAGTTTGTTTGTTTGGCATGTGCTGTTTTCTTTGGATATGTCTTTTTTTTTCCTATCCGGAATTTTTCCGTGGGTGAAAAGGTTGCTGCATGTTTTTACAGGGCATCCAAATGCCTGTCAGGTCAGCTGAAGTGTTTGGGCCAGCTGCTGAACATGTAGATAATCTAGATACGTGCACTGCTTACGTGCAGATTAATCTTACTGCATGATATTGCACAGCTGGTTTGCACATGCATGACAGATGCGGTGCACACTGGCTCACTCATATAAAGTGTGGCCCACAGGGCATGAGCTGGACTTTGCTAGAAGCATCAGGCCTGCTGTGCATCTTAGGTAGTTGACCTCTGCATACAGATTAAGTTTAGTGTTTCATGGATATGACACATTTTTTGTTCACACCCACATTATCAGGGCAAAAGCACTGTAAGGTCTGTTCTATCACGGAATTGCTGGAACCAGGAGGAAGCAATTTCTGCAACAGAAAGTCTAGTTATACACAAGTTCACAGGCAATGATGTCCTCATACCGCCACCTGCTTCAGAGTCGTGTCCATCATCTTTTCCTATTCTAGTCAGACCAATGTACTCTTATGAGTAGCATCTATTTAGATGTACCTTATTGTGTCTTTTCTTGCTTGTTCTCGTCTCGAAGATCTTCTATTTCTTCTAACATTGTGCATCTGCAGGAATTTATTCATAAGAATAGCAGGCAACCCAGTAACTTTTCATCTAAGAATTTTGTAAGGCATTTGGATATACTGACAGTTCCTCTCTTCATGTGGAATGAGTCAAGCAAGATGCAGGTGAACTGTACAGAAACCATAGAAATTAATACTATGGTGATGTTAATCAGCATGGCAGCAAAAAGAATAGATTTTCCCGATTTTGGAGGTTCATTTTGCTTTTACCAGGCTGGCCTATATTTGGATTTTTTTTTTAACCCCAGTTAGGTATGGCAATATGAGATGCCCACATTTTAAATAAACATCTGAGCAACTAAGAAGACAAAGAAAAGTCAGGGAGAAAAGTTGTGGACCAAAGTTGGAAAGCTCAGTGTGGGGGGTGGAAAAATTGCTTTTTGAAATGACAGCACCTTGATGCCATATTAAAATAACTTGCTAATAATTGACTTGTGGTAGCATTTACAGTGCCAAAAACTTGAAGTACCATTTATATGAACTTAAGTATTTCCTAGTCTATTTGTTGATCTTTTATCAATATTGTGCAGCTGATACCTTAAAAATCAGCCATTTTTGTTTTAGAAGAAGACATATATGGTGTGATTCCTTGCACAGCCTCACAAGGACAATATAATCATAAAATTTATATGTGGCTGTAGAAAAACTGAGTCTAACTCTGAAATGGGAGAGGAGGGAAGAGTCTGGGAAGAGGCCCTGTCTTTGCCTATACTTTTGCCTGTTTGGTGCCTCCCTAATGCCATGAGTCACGTTTCACCAGCGTTACTATGGCTCTGCGTCAGGCTTGTTTTAATTTTTGTGACA